AAAAAACTTAAAAACGGATTTTAAAAATCCGTTTTTATTTTTTAATTATTTTTTATTTAATTAAAAAAAACTGAAAAATGGATTTTTTTTTTTTAAAAAAAAGCGTTTTTTAATTTTATTTTATTTTTTACTTTATTTGGACTAATTCGAGGTCGATTACACTATAATTGACCAACATTGTACTAATTTGACTTCAATTCGGGTAATTCGAGGTCGAATACATTATAATTGACCGAGATTGTACTAATTTGACTTCAAATAGACTAATTCGAGGTCGATTACACTATAATTAACCGAGATTGTACTAATTCGACTTCAATTGGACTAATACGAGGTCGATTACACTATAATTGACCGAGATTGTACTAATTCAACTTCAATTGGACTAATTCGAGGTCGATTACACTATAATTTACCGATATTGTACTAATTTGACTTCAAATAGACTAATTCGAGGTCGATTACACTATAATTAACCGAGATTGTACTATTTCGACTTCAATTGGACTAATACGAGGTCGATTACACTATAATTGATCGAGATTGTACTAATTAGTCCAACTGAAGTCGAATTAATACAATCTCAATCAATTATAGTGTAATCGAACTCGAATTAGTCCAGTTGAAGTCAAATTAGTACAATCTCGGTAAATTATAGTGTAATCGACCTCGAATTAGTCCAATTGAAGTCAAATTAGTACAATCTCAGTCAATTATAGTGTAATCAAACTCGAATTAGCCCAGTTGAAGTCAAATTAGTCCAATTGAAGTCAAATCAGTACAATCCCGGTCAATTATGGTGTAATCGAACTCGAATTAGTCCAATTGAAGTCGAATTTGTACAATCTCGGTCAACTATAGTGTAATCGACCTCGAATTAGTCCAATTGAAGTCGGATTAATACAATCTCGGTCAATTATAGTGTAATCGAACTCGAATGAGTCCAATTGAAGTCAAATTAGTCCAATTGAAGTTAAATCAGTACAATCTCGGTCAATTATGGTGTAATCGAACTCGAATTAGTCCAATTGAAGTCGAATTAGTACAATCTCGGTCAACTATAGTGTAATCGACCTCGAATTAGTCCAATTGAAGTCGGATTAGTACAATCTCGCAAAATTATAGTGTAATCGACCTCGAATTAGTCCAATTGAAGTCAAATTAGTACAATCTCGGTCAATTATAGTACAATCGAACTCGAATTAGTCCAATTGAAGTCAAATTAGTACAATCTCGGTCAATTATAGTGTGATCGAACTCAAATTAGTCAAATTGAAGTCAAATTAGTACAATATGGGTCAATTATAGTGTAATCGAACTCGAATTAGTCCAATTGAAGTCGAGTTAGTACAATCTCAGTCAATTATAGCGTAATCAACCTCGATTTAGTCCAATTGAAGTCAAATTAGTACAATCTCGGTCAATTATAGTGTAATCGAACTCGAATGGGTCCAACTGAAGTCAAATTAGTCCAATTGAAGTCAAATCAGTACAATCTCGGTCAATTATGGTGTAATCGAACTCGAATTAGTCCAATTGGTCGAATTAGTACAATCTCGGTCAACTATAGTGTAATCGACCTCGAATTAGTCCAATTGAAGTCGGATTAATACAATCTCGCTAAATTATAGTGTAATCGACCTCGAATTAGTCCAATTGAAGTCAAATTATTACAATCTCGGTAAATTATAGTGTAATCGACCTTGAATTAGTCCAATTGAAGTCAAATTAGTACAATCTCGGTCAATTATAGTGTAATCGAACTCGAATTAGTCCAATTGAAGTCAAACCAGTACAATCTCGATCAATTATAGTGTGATCGAACTCGAATTATTCAATTGAAGTCAAATTAGTACATTCTCAATCTATTATAGTATGATCGAACTCGAATTAATCCAATTGAAGTCAAATTAGTACAATCTCGGTCAATTATAGTGTAATCGAACTCGAATGAGTCCAATTAAAGTCAAATCAGTACAATCTCGGTCAATTATGGTGTAATCGATCTCGAATTAGTCCAATTGAAGTCGAATTAGTACAATCTCGGTCAACTATAGTGTAATCGACCTCGAATTAGTCCAATTGAAGTCGGATTAGTACAATCTCGCTAAATTATAGTGTAATCGACCTCGAATTAGTTCAATTGAAGTCAAATTAGTACAATCTCGGTCAATTATAGTATAATCGAACTCGAATTAGTCCAATTGAAGTCAAATTTGTACAATCTCGATCAATTATAGTGTGATCGAACTCAAATTAGTCAAATTAGTACAATATGGGTCAATTATAGTGTAATCGAACTCGAATTAGTCCAATTGAAGTCGAGTTAGTACAATCTCGGTCAATTATAGCGTAATCAACCTCGATTTAGTCCAATTGAAGTCAAATTAGTACAATCTCGGTCAATTATAGTGTAATCGAACTCGAAT